ATGCGCAGAGGCCCCTGCAGTCGTTCGGGCTGGGTCAGCAAACAAGGCTGACCCGCTACGACGGGGCCTAACTGAAGAGACCCTGCTCAATAGATTGGGTGTCTCCTAGATAGTAGTTGATGAAGACGTTCTGCGTTTTCCAGAAGCCTGCCCTCAGAATGTGTTTGAGGGGGGCACCTGACGCTAGCGCTAGTGAGTTAGCAATCACACAGACCTCATGTTCTTGTACTTGGTGTCTCTGCAAGGTCTGTGTTGAGGATAGTGTATTATAGACCTCCAGTACAGTCGCAGTAATCCACCTGGGGATGGAAGTCGGGGAAACCGGCTTATCCCGCTTGTCAGGGCCGTAACACAAAAACATGTGTTTGGGTCCCAGTCTAGAAAACCTGGTACGGTTCTCGTAGCAACTCAGCGCTCGGACCGGGCAGAGAAGCAACTCCTCCTGATCTTCCGGACTGACAATATTTGCCAGCCGGGGGATGACGATCGGTTGAGGATCGTGTCCTGGGATTTGGTTCTTGGCGAGAACCCGATTCGTGTCTTAGTATAACTTGATCGCCCATAAAAGCGGCACAACCGTCCGCAAAGGATAGTGCGCGCCTAGCTTTGACCGGCGCCTACCTGAGGTGAGGGCCAGTAGGAAGACTATTTTCCACATCAAAAAATTGAGTGGTGCTGATTGGAGAGGCTCTTGAAGGAGACCACCGCTGCGTTGTCTGTGCGGAGCAGGACTCTGTGGTCTCGAACTACGGGTAGAAAGCGTGGTAGTGCTAAGTACACTGCTCACAGTTCGAGCCGGTTGATATGGTGGTCCCAAAACTATGCGGGAGCCATATCCTTGGGCTTGTTCGTCCAATAGATGCGCTCCCCAACCCTGGGGGGAGGCATTTATTACCAGAGTCATACCTGCGGCGAGCGGGTCCAAGGGGGCCCCTCTGCCCGAGGTTGGTCAGTGACGACCACCAGGGCAGGGCTTCCTTCACTTGGTCCGAGATCGAAACCCGCCTATCTAGTTCCTATAGAAGAGCTCGGCGTTATAACAAGTGTTATACCGGGCGGCTGCGTAGTGCGGCCTGGGGAACGACCCTTCGAACCGAGGTCATCATTCCGATGATCCGCATTAGTTCACGGAGGGACACTGAGGGAACGCTGACTAGGCATTCGGCTAGGCTGCTTTAGCGCTAAGCAATGTGCTTGAAATAGCTAAGCCAAGCTTACCTCTGTGTCAAAACTCCATGCCCAGGGACACCAACTGCGCGTTGGCTCGAGGTGGGACTTGTCGATTTACTAACGAGCCCAACTGGTGAAGTAAATCCTATGTTAGC